GAGTGGTGGGTAGGGTGGAGGGAGAGAGAGAGATACATGTTGCTAGACACATAAGCCCAGGTAATTTGTTGACATTTAAGTTTCACCAGTAGAAAAGATAAGCAGTTTCCACTCTCCCCATGCACCTCATTTATTAAACAGTCATTCGAGCTCTATCGGCAAGTTCTGGAAGAAAACCAGGGTGGAAACAACATTTACTACAGCCAATCTGGCAAACTGTCCCTAGCCCTTGTTGGTGCAGGTTATTGTGGGTGGCACAAGCCAATCGAGGGGGCAGTTGAGAACAAAATAACATGGGCAAAGCCAAGAAGTGGTGCTGAGAGTCTGGTGTACCGGAGTGTGTACCAGTGAGTGCACCAGAGGGAAGCCACACCTGGCCTTGGGAATATGAACCTTTGGTTCTGAGAACAGGCTCGGGGGAGGGGGTGGGAGTGCTCAAAATGGTAGTTGGGAGGTCACCAAGGGTAACGGCAGTCTCTTGGACTCCCTCAACTAACTACGAAGGGAGGTTTCCCATGCTTGGCACTGGGGGCTTTGTTAGATACTCTTGAGGCTCTTGAGGAAAGCAGAAATCTACTGATAGCAGTCCGTCGTATTCATTTTCAGTGGTGCACTTGAGAAGCTCTTGTAATTCTGTTTTGTCCATTCTTTGGTATGCACGTTCCATAATGATATGACCTTGCAGATTAAATTCTTCCTATCAAATATTAGATGGCAACTCCCCATTACCCAAAGAGACTTTTAAAACATGAAAGTTCTGTCTCATGAAACATTGGCAAAGCCCGAGTAGAGAAATTATGTTTGTTGCAAATTAACATGATAAGAGATTCCGCATTGAATTTGGGTTTCGTGGGAAAATGTATAAAGCACGTGACATGACTAGATTCCAATGGCATTATCATTAAGCTGTGAATATTTTGCATGTTGACGACGTTTGCCTCTGAATGTTCAGATGAATCAAGAACACAATTTGCTGAATCTGCAGAGAAGCTCCTTCCAGAAGACCTACAGAGCTCACCAGGAGCTTGGGGGTCCTCATTCAGGACTTGTGTGTCTTCCCTCTAAGTTCAGAATAGAGCAGACACCTTTCTGGGCTGCCAGACTGCTGTGCCAGAGCTTAGACACTCGTGCAGCCCATTCCCCATGCTCAGAGCAAAAGGTGATGATGGTCAAGTTCATGCTGTATCGGATCTGCCCATGGGTGACTGAAGCATTTATCTAAATTGCTCTATTATTAATAAAAACTCAGGAGTCAGATACTGAGGTAGAAACCTGATAGAGTAAGGAAGCAGTGGAGTTCCAGTCCTGAAGAGTTGAACATTTACCTCCTGCAGAGGCCAATTTGGATGCCAAGGATCCTTGTGATATAATTGTTACATCTGCACCTGTGTCTATCAGACCTTCCATGATGACATCATCTATTCCTATACTTTTAATATTGGTCTCTACTCATTTATAGAAGTTTGCCAATATACTCACTTTGTGATTTTTTTTCTGACTTTTTTTGTTCTCTCTTTTGTGGCTCTTCTACCATCCAGAGCTGTATGTTTTCTTACAATAGGTATTAGGCTCTTTAATTGCTCTGGGTAGTGGGTTCCAAGGTGACAGGAAAGGACTGAACTGGATTCGGCAGAGGGGCCTTCAAGAGGCCCCTCAGGGTGTTTCCTAATGGAGGCAAATGATTACCTTGGTACTCTCTGGTCGACCTACACTCCCTAGTCCAATGCCTGCCTTTGCCACACCTTTTGCATAATCCAGAAAGTTCGTTCTGTTTGGATTATAGTTATAAAGAGAATTGTTTATAGAAATGCCTTGTTTATGATATCTTTCCAGGTGACCTTGTCTGCCAAAAAACATTTGACACTTCAATTTTTTTCTTTAAACCTTTTGAAATCACTTCTCCATATATCATCATCATGAGCTTTGACATTAATTGTGTCTCTGATTCAGTCCTCCAAAGGTGCTGATTTTGCTTTGAAAGGCCTAATTATCCTTTTGCATTGGGCATTAGCATTTTCATAAGCCATTCTTTCGATTACTACTTTTCTTGCATCTGAGTCTGATATCATTCTATTGACTACTAATGACAGTCTTTGTAAGAAGCCTGAACACTTCCTTTGGGCCCTGTATGACTTTGGAAAATGATTCAATTTTCTTTCCTGCTTCTCCAGTTCTGTCCCAAGCATTCAGAGCTACTGCATAGATTAAACCCAAGAGGTGATCATCTTATTGACATTGCCTTCCTAAGCACAATCTCCTCCAAGAATTTGATATCTATACCTCTAGCCTTTTGTTCAATATCCCTAGCCTCTTCTCCGAACCAGCCAACCCATTGTAATTGTGGTTCAGGCTCTAAGACAGTTTAAATCAAATCTATCCAATCTGCAGGGATAACCCCATTACAAATAAGCCACGTGTTTATCATGTGCTTCACAAATGCTGAGTGGATTTCATATGAGACTACAGCTTCCTTGAATTTCCCTGAATCTAACATTGTCCCAGGCTTCCAAGTAGCTCTTACTTACAGAATCTCCTTCATTTGGCACTTCCTGTAAGGTTACTGGATATATTAAAAGTGGTTCTCTTAAGACCTTAGAGTGCTCATTTTTAACCTTGAAATGCAATGCTGAATTTTTTTTCCAATTTAATTTCTCAGTCTGGGTTCGGATATGTCTATAATCTGCTTTAAAAAGTTTTTATAAGGCCTGCATCTTAGCACTCATCTCAACCAACTGTTTTTAGAGATTGAACCAAGAATTATCAAAAGGACAACAAAGATTATGAAATAACAACAGTGAGTTGATTATCCCTTCATGTTCCATTTTTAACCATATTATTATGTAATCATATGAAGGTTCTGATTTTCTCCATTTTAATAGTATTTTCCATTTTTTTACTGTGGGGGAAAAACTTTTTTTTTTTTTTATAACTAATCCCTTCCTGTAAGAATTTCTAATTAACTTTCAAAATCTGCAAACAGTGTCAGTGAACTGTGAGGCGTATATCTGAATCAGAGTCAGCCCTAAGAGAGGGGGGCTCCAGAGTTTGGGTGGCAGCTGAAGGCTGGAGAAAAGCTGCAACCAAAAAATCCCACACTTGCTCAAAAAATTGAGGAGAAAACTTAGCTGCTTAGCAGTGACTCAGACATGAGGACTCCAGAATCGAGACTCAGGCAGAGTCCCGACTCCTGCTCAGGCTTTGGCTGGGCATGGGCATGGGCCCTTTGCCTCAAAAGCTTTTTTGTGAGGTCGCCTCAAAAGCTTTTTTGTGAGGTCTTACTTTAATGCTGGGTGCCGGCATTAAATAAATGACCCAGAGAATGATTTTGGGGTTCAGGCTTCAAGCTGAATATCAGAAAAGCAAAGCAGCTGGCCATTAGATTCTTACCTCTACCTCAGGCTGAGTGGGCTGATCCTGTCTCCATGAGCTCTCACCAAGCCTCAGACTGTAACTTCTCCTCAGCGTGGCTGGAGAACGAATACCTCTCCTTCTATCTTACATACTTCCTTAGTATTGGGATTAAAGGTGGGAGCTATAATTCTCTTTTAGACTGATTCACTCTTGTGTAGATCTGGGTAGCCTTGGGCTCACAGAGATCCATCCGTCTCTTAATCCTGAGTCCTAGGATTAAAGTTGTGTGTCAACACCTCCTAGCTTCCTGCTGCTGGGATTAAAGATGTGTGCCTGGTTTCTAAGGCTTTTGGCTGACTTTGCTTTCTGAATCCTCAGTCAAGCTTTAATAAGTCATAAATAATATGTCACCACAGGTCTCCAGCCTATGACTTTAAATATTAACACACTGGGAGCTAGCTCATTTGGTAAAGTGGTTGTTTCTCACCCAGTTCAGTGGCTGCCCCTTACACAACTGGTGTCCTAATCAACAACTACAACTCCTCTGCTACCACCAATGGTTCAGCCACAAGGACGAACCAGATCTCTCAGAGCCAATAAGGGAAACTTTATCTAGATCTCTACCCCTCTGTAGAACTCAGGATTCAAAGGTTGAGATGAAATTCTGCCTCAGAGAGGCTCAATGGCAAGGAGCTCACCTTCTGTCTTTGCTCTAGTCTCCTGAAAAACCCTAAAACCCCATGAGACCTTCTGCATGGCTCCCATGCTACACCTGGCTCCTCCCTACCACTTCCTGTCAGCTGGTGCTGATTTTGGCCTCCTGATAACAGGTTAATTTTATTCAGTCAAACAAATGAAACATGTTTTTGCATTGTAAACAAAAGCAGTAGGAAGAAACGTAACACTTATAAATAGTGTTCCACAACAAACAGTAAAGCACTTGTTATGTAAAGATAAAGCCCTGGGTAGATTCCTAGAGCCCACTTAAACGTGCTGTAACATGAGTACTGAGGACGTATCCAGTAGAGCATCCCCTGGGCTCTGATGAGGCTAGGCTGACTGATCAGCAAGACCCAGGATCTGCCTGTCCCCTTTGCTGCCTCCCCAGTGCTGGCAATGTAAGTGCTGGGGATTATACTCAAATCCTGTGTTTGCAAGATGAGTCTTTACCAACTAAGATCTCCCTCTGGCCACCAATAATCTATATTTTAACAGGCATATTTTTTAAAATTTTTATTTTTTTAAATTGTGTGTGTGTGTGTGTGTGCGTGCGTGCGTGCGTGCGTGCGTGCGTGCGTGTGTGTGTGTGTGTGTGTGTGTGTGTAGGACTGTGCAGGTGCCCACAGAGGTCAGAAGTGTCAGATTGCTTTGCAGGTGGTTTTAGGATTTTTTTCTCTAAGTGAGTATATCTGTTCCATGCTTTGTGTAATTAGAATATTGAATACTGTGACTGATGAACACTCGTGAAGCACAGTGAGTTCTTTATTTAAAATCCCTGGATTTTAGCATAGAGTAAATCAGTATAAATGTGAACCAAGGATGACATCTGTACAAGAAAACAAACTTGGAAAAACCCAACCCATGTAAAGCAACAGTGCAGAAACAGACCCTCCAGTTCTTAAGTGTGTTTCTTGCTTGTGTTTCCCAAGGACTTTGGTTTTCCCGCTCCTGATCCGAGGAGGGAAACCCACACCGATGCTTTCCTTTGCTGCAGCAGTCCTGTTCTGTACCTACAATGGCTACTTGCAGAGCAGATACTTGAGCCAGTTTGCGGTGTATGCCGAAGACTGGGTGGCCCATCCCTGTTTCCTGACTGGTGAGTGACCAGAGATCATCCCTTCCACTTACGCCCAGAGATTTCTATTAGAAAGTTCAAGCTAGAGAAGGAACCACAGGTCTGTAATGTGACCTCCTCAGGGGTTGCAGAGCAGGGAGGATGAGATGGTCTTTGCTTGCTGGGGCCAGCAGGGAAGGCCCAAGCCAGGTACTTTGACCCCACTGGTACTGATTCACATGCTGGGATACAGGGAACTTTGGAAAGAGCAGCTCTAGGGTGATCAGAAGCAAAAGAGGAATTTTTACCTCTCCCTCTCTCTTTTTCTCCCTCTCTTTCTCCTCCTCTCTCTCCCTGTTTCCTTTCTTTCTCTCTCATTCCTTTTATTGGTAGATAATACGTTTCAAATGCTTATTTTTTTAATTAATCTTTTGAGAGTTTCATGCATGAGTGTTATATTTACAACCTTTCCACCCCCTCCCTCTTCCTCCTCCAACTCCTCCCATGCTTTCCCAACTTCATCTCAAATTCACAACCTTCTTTTCTTAACTTTTTTTCTTGGTTTTTCGAGACAGGGTTTCTCTGTATAGCTTTGGAGGTTGTCCTGGAACTTGCTCTGTAGACTAGGCTGGCCTGGAACTCACAGAGATCCACCCGCCTCTGCCTCCTAGGTGCTGGGATTAAAGGTGTACGCCACTAACGCCAGGCCACCTTCTTTTCTTTAATTATTATGACACATGTGCACGCACACACAGGAAACCTACTGAGTCCATTTAGAGTTGCTCGTATGTGTATGTGTTTAGGGTTGGTCACCTGGGATGGATCACCTGTAATGGAGCTCAGCCATAGAAAAAACTCACTCTTCTCTTTCAACAACCATTGGTTGCCTGTAGCTCTTTACCTTGTGGAATTTTCCCCAGCCACATTGGCGTGCCAGTTGGTGCTATCATTATGCAAGTTCAGGCAACCCCACTGTTGAGGTGTCATGGGTGCACCTTCCCTGCCTAGAAGATACTATGTCTCGGCAGATGTCCTAGTCCTCTGGCTCTTACGGTCTTTATGCCACATCCTATATGTTCCCCGAATCTTTAATGTAGTGTTGTGTTTTAGATGGATTGGCTGGAGTGGGGCCCTCCGTAGTCAGCTGTTCTCTGCATTTTGAGTGTTGTAGATTTCTGTAATGGTCTCTGCTGCAAAAAGGAGCGTCTTTGATGAGGGGTGACCCAGTGTGAGCATAGCATGAGTGGATGAGATCATAGGAGCTCACCGGGCTGGGCTGGGCCACAGGCTGATGACCCACCTAGTCCAAGGACTCAGATGCCTCAGTCATTTCCGTGGGGATTGTGGAGATCATTCTGTTAGGGTCCTTCCAGGGGTGGGTGTGTCACCATTTGAAGCAGCTCATTGAAGAGATCACATCACCTGGAAGCATCTTGCAGTTGGTCTCCAACTTGAGCTGCCTATTAATTGTTTCCAGACCTCTGACTTCTCCACCATTAAATGGAAGGGCATGAAAGCAAAGACATGCCCAGCAGGAAGTGAGCTAGATTGCTTCATTTAATTGTGGATGTCATTCAGCATGTTGTTTTGTGAGGAGACAGGCTAGGAGGTTGTCCTTATGCAAAACTCTAAGGGAAAGTTTCCCCTAGCAGTAAAAGTGGCTACTCTGAAAGATTTGCAACCCAAACTAACAGTCAGAGGGCATCACTATGGAAACAACATCACTATGTTGCAGACTGCCTGTGCATACAAGAAGGCTGAGGCAAAGGGAAGGTCTTAGGAATAAAATGAAGGGGAATGTTTGAGATATGTACCAAGATAACAATGGTGGCATCCAGTCCACGTTAACTCTTCTGATATATACCCCGGGAGTTTCAGTGGCTGCTGGGTGGGGCTATAGTTGACAGAAACTGTGCTCATTTCTGCATATGTGAACGGAAGGCCTCCCCGACTCTATTGTTCATATGTGTACATGCCCACCCCTCCCCCCACTCTATTGTTCATGTGTGTACATGCCCACCCCTCCCCCACTATTGTTCATATGTGTACATGCCCATCCCCCACTATAGTTCATGTGCCCATGCCCATCCCCCACTATAGTTCATATGTGTCCATGTCCATCCCCCACTATAGTTCATATGTGTCCATGCCCATCCCCCACTATAGTTCATATGTGTCCATGCCCATCCCCCACTATAGTTCATGCGCCCATGCCCATCCCTCACTATAGTTCATATGTGCCCATGCCCATCCCTCACTATAGTTCATATGTGCCCATGCCCATCCCCCACTATAGTTCATATGTGTCCATGCCCATCCCCCACTATAGTTCATATGTGCCCATGCCCATCCCCCACTATAGTTCATATGTGTCCATGCCCATCCCCCACTATAGTTCATATGAGTACGTGCCCATCCCCCACTATAGTTCATATGTGTCCATGTCCACCCCCCACTGTTGTTCATATGTGTATGTGCACATCCCCTCCACTGATCTATTACTTATTTTTTAGGTGGGACTTGGCAGAAGTGGCCCCACTTTAACTCTGAAAGTGTGCCAGTTATTATTCTCCTTAGTGTAACAAAATACAAGAGGAAAGCACCTTAGGGAAGGAAGGGTTTGTGCTGGTCACGGTTTGAGGGTGCAGGCCATCAGGACAGGGAAGGTACGGTGGCAGGCGCATGAGGTGACTGGTCACATTGCATGCAGAGTCATGCCGTGGAGGGAGGCGAATGTTGAAGCCAAGCTTGCCTTCTCTTCTTTATTCAGTTCATGACCTCAGCCCATGGAAACTGGATTCAAAGGGAGCGGGCTGATTTGTTTGGTGGGAGAATTTTAAGAGGAAAACATCTTAACTGTGGCTTGGCTGCTGCTCAGAGTGGAGTGACAAGTGCCTCACAGAGAGGAGAAAGTTGCCATTTGCTGAAACGAGGAGGGTTAAACACACCTGTAGGCGTGTCTGTGAGAGGTGCCTGGTGCACACAGCCTCTGGAGGATACGGTAACTCCTAGGTGCCCAGCTCTGGGCCTCTCCTTTCCTTCCAATGCTAACTGTAGTAGGAAGAGGCACTCTGAATACAGGTCCTGCCCGGAAGTGTCTGTATACTGTGAGACACTATTTGGCCTTTACATTTATAGTATCTCAGAAAAATCAGATGGTTGCTTTCTGTATCAAAGCAGAGTTTTGGCTGTTTGCCTTTTCTGGTTGAAGGTAACTGATGTGATGCTCACCATGAGGACCACTTCTGAGAACATCTCTCCAAACCTCTGCACTGAAGTAGACATGAACCCATCTTTAATAAAGTCTCACACTATGCTCCATTGAAAACTCCTGAGGATCTGAAGAAACATCCCAGGGAGAGGAACCTCCTCGGTGCTGGGATGCCAGAGACAGCCATGTAGTTTCTAGCCCCTGGGGATGGAAGTTAAGGGGAGGGAGGAGTGGCCAAGTAGGAGGGGAGAGCTCACTGGGGAGGTTGTAGCGGGTTGATAGGATGAAATCCAGGGACATGCACTATGGAGCTCGAAGGGGAGAAAGAACCATCACTGGGATCCTAGGATCTATGCCTACTCCCCGGGGGTAGGGTGGGTAGTCAGTAAATATTTGCCTCTTCTTATATGGAGGGGAGACTGTAAGTATTTCCTCATGCAGTTTTCCTGAGGAAAAGGGGATGTAAACATACCTGCAGCCTAATTCCCCTGTGCCCAGGTCATAATTAAGTCCTGTTTTCTGTTCCTGTCATGGTAAAAACATAGATTGAGACCACAAGTGTTTTGGGTGGAATTGATTTCTGTAAACATGGTTAAGGAAACAGACTGTTGCTGTGGCTAGCCCTGGTGGTTGTGCTGTTGCTGCCAGCCATGGCTCATACTCATACTCACACTGATACAAGGAATGCAATGTACTGTTCAGCTGAGCATGGCTTTCTTAACTCCTGCCAGTCATTAACCATACTAATCTTGTTTATTCTTTAGGTTTTGCCTTGTGGTTAACAGGCATGGTGATAAATATCCATTCAGACCACATCCTGAGGAATCTGAGGAAACCTGGGGAAGTGGGATACAAAATCCCCAGGGGTACGTACCAAGAGGGGCCCTCTGCAGAGTCGCTTTGCATGTGGCCACCCTACCTTCATTTCTCAGATCTGTAAACCCACAGCACAGTGTTTAGGGACTGAAATTTCTCTGTGTGAGCCACAGTTCGGACTGTCCTTACAAGGGCCCAGGTTTGGCTTCCGGGGAGATGGTTAAGCAGTGCAAGGTGTCTGTTTGGAGGTGGGATGATAAGACTTAAGAGGCCACAGGACCCTGCAGGCCTTAATGTCCAGCACTGTGCCAGAATGGCTTCTTTCGTGGACTCTCCCTCTTGAAAACTATATAAAATATCGTGTGCGATTTTTTGTTTGTTTGTTTTTTAGAGGAATAAAACCCTTAAATATACATTATTGTGCTGTGGTGGTTTAAATATAATTGGCCCCAGGTAGCTTTGTTGACGTGGGTATGGCCTTGTTGGAGGAGGTATGTCACTGGGGGGGGGGGGAGGCTTTGCGGTCTCCTATGCTCAGGATACCACCCAGTGACCCAGTCAACTTCCTGCTGCCTGCATGCCACCATGGTCCACACCGTGATGATAGCGGACCAAACCTCTGAAGATATAAGTGAGACCCCCAATTAATTGTCTAACTTATAAGAACTGCTGTGGCCATGGTGTCTGTCACAGCAGTAGAAACCCTGGCTGAGAAAGACATGAGCTTCCAGGAAAAGCCCATCATCAGGAGGCAGTCCGAAGGGCACCGTGTGACAGTTGTGACTAGTGCCCCTCAGGCTCACTCAAACTCATGGCCCGTGGTCAATCTGAAAAACCTAAAGCTGTGGGTTATGCTCCATGTGGTCTTGGTGTGGTGCCACCACTGACCTGGCAGCAAAGCCCCAGAGGCATCCGTCTTCAGCCACAACCACTTAGCCCTCAAGGCAGCACCGTGCCCCGAGGAAGAGACGGGCAAAAATCGTGCAAAAGTCGGTGTGTCTCACAAGGATCTAGGGCACTGTTTCAGAGCTCTGTGGACTGGAGGACGGGATCGGAGCAGATTTGAAAGTGGAGATGGCCCCGATGAGTCAGTAGCTGAGCGCATGGAAAGTGGAAACCAGTAGAATCTCTAAAAACAACACAGCATCGTAGATGAGCTTGAAACTTTGATGAAGAAAAGCACACGAGGTTGATTAACAACAAACATAAGATGTACAAAAAAAGTAAAAGAAAACCACACCATATTTCAAGTCACTCCAACTCCCTAGAGGCAGGAAGCGGCAGAGGTAGCCTCCAGGAGTTACAGTCCTGTGATAGACAGCGTGGCTTTTCCTGAGATGATGTAAACAACCATCTGTCTTCCCATCATTCCCAGACAGGGCAGTGACAGACCAAAGGAAGGATTCTAACTCAGTCTCCTTAAATGAACCGGTGAGCTGATTGGTGTGGCTTCCAGGAGCAGGTGTGTTACCTACAGCCCACCCCAATGGGTAGTGACTCAGGGAAGCTGCATTGCAGGAGTTCCCCGGTCTGACTTGCCCATTGGCAGCTTGAAGAGCCCCGCCCCCTGCAATGACTGCCTTCATAGTTTGAGGGGTGCTTTGTGAACCCCAATGCTTTCAGAAGGTTCCCTTGCCTCATGCCTCATATCCACATCTGAATGATAAAGACTTGCTTCCAGATGTGGGAGGACCCAGGATGCTTTGCAAGAAGAGGACAAGCCATGGGAGTGACAGGTTCAAGAAACAACCACGTCTAAGAGACACAGCACCCCGACTAGAAGCAACTTTAGAGGACGGGTCTGTCTTGGCTTACAGTTGAGAGGGTACTAGAAAGCACGGTAGAATTTCATGGCTAGAACCGCCCTGCATCGGGGCGATCAGGAAGCACTCTGAAGGTTTACCCATGTCAACAGCCTACTTTGTCCACATAGGCCACACCTCCTAAAAGTCCTACACACTCTCAAAATAGTGCCAGGAACTGGGGGACCAAATGTCCCAATACATGAGTCTATGATGGACATTTCATGGTCATTGATTCTTGTAATATCTGTAGAGGGCTGGGTCCCGGAGGAGGGGCCTGCCTAGCCAGAGTGGGTCACACAGAAGCCCAGAGGGACTTCATATACAGCAGGCTGTCCAGCTCACAGCAGCAGAGATGCCACCAAAACTGTCTTTTCCCCTTTTTCATTCAAGGTTCTCACTTGGTATCCATGGCTTGCCTGGAACTTGCTATCTGGACCAGGCTGGCCCTCTGCTGTCTGCCTCTGAAAGGCTGGTATCAAAGGCATGTACTACCATGCTGTGGCATAACCCTTCTATATGCTGTGAATATATGTTGTCTTCATTGGTTGGTAATTAAAGCTGCTTTGGCCTATGGCAAGGAAGAATATAGCTAGGTGAGAAAGCCAAAGGAAAAGCCAAACTGAATACAGGGAGAAAGAAGGGCATAGTCAAGAGAGATGTGAGCAGCTGCCCCAAAAGTAAGATGCCAGTGGACTGGTAAAATCCTCGGCCATGTGGCAATACATAGATGAATAGAAATGGGTTCACTGAAATGTAAGAGCTAGAGGCCAAGCATTCTGTAATTAATGTTAAGCCTCTAAATGATTATTTGAAAGTGGCTGCAGGACAAAGAGACCTCCATTTACACTACTGCACCCAGCTTCTTTGATTTCATGATGCCGGTTGCATATTTATGTCCTAACCTGATGTATTGAAACCCGAAGAACAAGAAAGAGAAAGTCAGGACACCTTTGCAAACACACTTGCTGGGGGAGACAGCTGTGGAGTCTGTCTGAACAGGAATGCCTCTCTCCGGCCAGAGGAAATTGCAGCTGAAATCCCAGTGTGGTTTGTCTATAGGGACATAAATCAGACAGCTGCAGCATCAGTGCTCATTGGCTGGGTGCCAGCAGAGCTCTGCCAGCTCCAAGCCTGGCTCCATCCCTGCTACAACCAGGGCAGCCCACATCCTGCAGTGAGGAGTAACCACCTCCTTGTCTGGAGCAGCATGTCCCCAGATGCCTCCACTGAAACGAGTCTTTCTCTGTCCCCAGCCAGATCCCAAATAAGACACGGAGACTTACTAGTCATGAAAACTTGGCCTTAGTTTAGCCTTGTTCCTAACTAGCTCTTACAACTTAACCCATTTATAGTAATCTGTGTTCTGTCACATGGCGTCACCTCTCTTCCACCTTGTACCTCCTGTTTCCTCTCTGTCTCCCAGCATCTCCTGTGAGCCTGGATTCTCCTCCTCATTGTTCCCCTCTCCAGAAATCTCGCCTGTTTCACCTGCCTAGCTGTTGGACACTCAACTTTCTGTCGCACCAGTCACAGCAAATACATGTTCACACAGTATACAGATACCCCACAACACTCCACGCTGGTCTTAGAACAAGCTAAGCAGACAACAGAGATGTCAGCAGCCCAGAAAAGGCAAGGCGGGAGTCGTGAGGCTAGGAAGGACTTATCTACTAAAGTTGATCCTTTCTAATCTTTGAAGTTAAGATGACTCCAAGGACAACCAGCAGCCCCCACAGAAGGACATAAAAGATGGAAATGAAAAGAGAGGAAGAAATGAAGTCTGAGAGAGTCAGTTTCGTGGTAGCTGCACAAAGCAAAGCGGGGTGGGGGGTAGGTGTGCCTGTTGGAGGATACGGAACACACCTGGAACCTAAGAGAAGAAAGCCTTGGCGGAGATGCTCAAGCCTCACGGCTACCTTTCAGAAGAGCTCACCACACACCAGGGGAAGCTGACAGAAAGCCGTCAGCTGTACCTGGAGAATCCTCCTCCTGGTGGCGGCTCAGATAGATCCTTGAGTACCTCTGAAGCAGGAAACACAGGCTTTTGCCCAGCATTCCTTACGTCCATTCCCTCGGTGGTTTTGGGGGCCTAGGGCACAGGGGCTGTGGCCACCGAGGTGCTGTGACAGCTCTTAGTTTTAAATTGACCAACTTCCTGCATGCTTTGAATTTCAAGAGGCTTTTCTGACGTGACACTTGACATGGTTGTATTTTCTCATGCGTGGTGGTGATGTTCATGCTTAAAGATGGAGTCACACCCTACAGAGTTATTTAGCAGAACTGATTGACAGTCACACTGACGTCAGTTTCTTTGCTAGCTAATACAGATCCAGGCATAGATGTAGAGGTATGATCCGTGCTTGTCTGCACATGTAGATTCGGAGAAGGTTCCCAGACCACGCAACCCAGATTGAGATAAAGGGCAAGTGCCATGGGCTATAGGTGACAGTGAGAATCCACTGCTCTGTTATTTTTGTTGTCCAGTTAAAATATTTTAAAAGGCACTTAAGTGCTTGACTGGCTACCTAGCAGGCCCTGGGATTCCTTCTGTCTCCATCTCTGCAAAACTGAGAACACAAGCGTATGCTCCCATGGCTGGCTTTTTTATGTGGGTGGTGGGGATTGAAACCAAGTCCTTGTGCTCACAGAGCAAGTGACTGCCATCTGACCTGCCCTCAGGGTTTATGAAATTAGCATACATTAATGTATTGGGCAATGCATTCCTTTGTGACATTTTACACAAACTTGACATGCACTGTCTTGTAACACAGCATCCTTCCCCTGCCTCTATTAAAGGCACAACAGCTAGCAGAGTGCTGTCTGGGATTCTTACCAGCCATGTGCACGCCAGCCCCTGCTCCCACACCAGATGATAAACTCTCCACATTGGACACTCAAGGGTCCCGTTGCAGCCTCCACCCCGGGTTGGGATGGTGTGGCATTTGAAGGGAGGCTGCAGAGGTGCCCACTTTGAGAATTCAGGCAATTTTTGTCATTTTTCATTATTATCATCATCATTTGAATATGTATATGTGTGTGTGTGCGGCACACACCTGCTACACACACCACATGTGTGGAGGTCAGAGGACAACTCATGGGAGTCAGCTCTCCTGCCAACCTGTAGGTTCTGGGTGTCGAACTCAGATCATTAAGTTTGGCAACAAGCACCCTGATCTACCTGTGACCACACTCCCAGACCCTGGCCCTTCTTTGCACACTAGTCCCAATCCTGGAGCTCCAGCTCCTCCCTTAGACACTACCTATACCCTGAGTCCCTTGTCATATGCCTAGAACTTTCTTTCTGAAGGCAGAATCTCGTATATCCTATGCTGAGATAACAGTCATGTGCCACCATGTGTGGCTACTTTTCCTATGGTGGTGAGTGAGACAGTATCATTCCAAGGAAGTGCCCGAAGCAACAAATTATCCTTCTCAGTCCCCTGTACTCTGGCCACAGATGCAAGAAGACAGGAATTCTTGGAAAACAAAAACAAAAACAATCACCCTACACTCAAAATGCTGCAATTTGAAACTGACCTTTAAGTGTATGTTCACTCTCCCCGTCCCCTTCTCCTCTCCCCCTCTCCCTCAGTGATGTCTCGGTGTCTCCTTACATAGTTCCAGGGCCTTGGGACCTGACTGGGATAGTACGCAGATAAAGAAAGCGGCAGATACAGAAGTACATGAATAAAGAAAAAGACAGACACAGACAGTCAGACAGAGAATCTGGGGTCTTGTGGGCTGAGCTGTCTGATAGTGGAAACTGCAGCCCTCTAGAAACCCACTGTGTTCATTATATATGGTTGGATTGACAGCAAAGGCCATTGCATAGAGCTGATGAGGAGCTGGGCTGTATGGTGTAGGACTGGGCCAAGGAGCGAGGTTTAGCTGATCTTGATGAGAAGTCTCTCTAAGGGAGCAGTGTGCCCCCCCCCCCCCGCCTCTGCCTCAGTCTGCATCCTCCTCTGCCTCTCTGGTTCTTCTCCATTAAACCCCCTCCTCCCCTTGTCAGCCTCCCAGACCTGACCCCCTCCAAAATCTCTCCTAATGTATGCTGCTTTCCACAATCTACTGCTCAAAGTTACTACAGAAAAGGGCTGCTTCCAAATCCTAATGGCAGAGGACATGGCGGCTACCTTGAGTTACTTTCTTAGAAAAACCAGTTTGTCAGCCAGCTGTGATCAGGTCAGCAGTCTTTTTGTGACCTCTGCTCCTGCTCTGACACCTTCCCTGCCAGACCTCCCCGTTTCTTTCTTCTTTCTGCTTCCCACTCCTTCCCCTGCTGGCCAGCCTAACTCGGGAGCTGCCACTCCCCTCCACACGGTTGTCTGGCTTGTTTTGTAGTTACTTTTCTTTCCTCTCTTTCCATCTAGGAGGCTTGTTTGAATATGTCTCTGCAGCCAACTACTTCGGGGAGATCATGGAGTGGTGCGGCTTTGCGCTGGCCAGCAGGTCCCTCCAGGCCGGAGTGTTTGCCCTGTTCACTTTCAGCGCACTATTCACCAGGGCGAAGCAGCATCACCAGTAAGTTTGGAAACGCATCTTGCAATCTGCAGCTTGCTCTTGGGCCTCAGCATCACAGCTTCCAGGCTAGACTTTCATAACCCTAGCAATGGTGTGAGCCGCTGATCCTGGCTGCTTACAGGAGAGAGCTGGAGGAGCAGGACCTGTTGCTTTGGGCGCAGGGAGGGGGTGGGTCCTCCCTTGTGTTGGCAGGTCGGAGTCTTCACGTGAACAGAGACTGACAGGAATTGATCAGAGTGTCAGGGACCATGCCTTTGACACTGTTCTGTTGCTGAGAAGCAGTGCCTCGACCAAGGCAACTGGGAACTTGCTTACACTCTCAGAGGTTTAATTCATTATCTTCCTGGCGGAGAGCATGGTGGCGTGCAGGCAGGCGCTGGAGAAGTAGCTGAGAGCCTGTCCTATCTGTAAGGGGTAGGAGACGCTGGGCGTGGCATGGGCTTTTGAAACCTCAGAGTTCACCCCCAGTAGCACAGTTCCTTTTACAAGGCCACACCTCCCAGTCCTTTCCTGTACTGCTATTCCCTGGTGACTAAGCAGTCAAGTACGTGAGCCTATGGGGGGGGGCATTCTTATTCAGACCACCACAACCTGAAAACCCCCAGAGCTGCTGAGAAAGGCAGAGGGCTGTAAAGAAATAAGGGCAAGTACCTGTGACAGAGGTGACTTACATTATCAAATGGCCAAAAAAACAGTCAGGGTAATGACCTAACTGCTTGCTGTCTATGGGATTGCCTAGTCTGTTGACATAACTTCACAGAGAGGAAAAGTAACTGCTTTGTCCCATTGGGATGGGAGAGACCGAGGCTGGAATAAATGGAGTCTGTGTTGGGCATTTGACAGGGCTTCCCCCTTCCTCCTAGTGATAGTTTAGATACTGCCCCTACACCTGCCTGCTGTTTCACCTCTCAGTGTATTCTGGGGACAAGTAGCAGCCTTTGTTTGCTTTCCTACTCTAGTTAAGTACCTCTAACTCTCCTGCATTCCCCCATCTCAGAGGTCAACACTTACTTCTGTCAGGGAATAGGGCGATGGCTGCTGCAGCATCGGCCTCATGCTAAGATGGGGCAGGGTCTTGTGGTGGCACAGGTCTCAAAGAGAAAGAACTCTCACAAGGTGACTCCTGGGACTGGTCCTGCAGGTTTTGATAACATTTTGGCAGGCAGTATATCTTGGGCCCTTCCTGCAGAACCATCTGTAGTAGCAGAGGGCCAGGTGGAATGGAGAATATTAGAAACCACTTTAGTATAGCCCAGAGTAGGCCAGCAATTACCCAAAATGTCCCACATCCAAGGCTGCTGTTGAGAGTGATGAACTCCGGATCTATTTTCAGGCATGTTGGTAGTTTTCAGAGTGGCTAGAACCACAGTGAGAGGTGCCTCTGAGAGAGAGACAGATACAGAGAGACAGAGAGGGAGGGAGATTAATCACTAATTGACGATTAGGTTAAAACAATAGTGGGCCTCACATAGGTGCTGTAATGTTGAACCCAGTGTCCAGTGAGTGTTACCCTCACGGTCATACCCTGGGCTGTTTACGATCAAACCTGTGGCCAGAACCAGCTGCCTCTAACTTTTTAGTGCCAAGGCCACTTAAGGGCCTGGTTCTCGGGGACAACAGCATCAGAGGAGCCTCTGCCCCCTTTCCCTTTTAGTGATTATTCCATCAGTATGAAGATGAGTTACAGTCAAAGGCCTTCCTTTTGTGTGGTTTCACTCCAAAGCACAGAGGAGACCAGATACTGGTTAGAGCTCACTGGGTGGGGTCTCCAGGTAATCCCCCTCCAGCCCCCCACCTCCCCACCTCCCGCCCCAGTTACAGGACATTCTGAGACAGCGTAAGGGGAGGAATAGTCCCCTTTTCATCTCTCTTACTACATTAGCATAGCCTCGGAGCATGTTCATTGAACACCCAGAAGATCAATGTATCAGCCTGGTACTCTTAGCTCCTGTGTAATATTTAGATAAATCTTGGACACTTCAGATAAAACCAAACACTTAAATAAATTTTGATTGTTTTTTTTTTTTTTTTTTTCTGAGTCAGTCCTGGTAATTGTTCTGAAGAGTAGACCTATAACTCTATTGATCTAAGCAGAGGTTTGATATCAGTTTGCTGAACTTTGACCTTTTGCACACTTTAGTTTCCTAGTAGGGTTACTATTGCTGTGATGAAACACCATGATGATCAAAGCAAGTTGGCAAGGAATTCCTGGAACTAGTCTGCCTATCTAAAGCGAGCTGGGGGAGGGGAGATGGAGAGATCTTGGGTCATAGTTACCTTTTGATTACTTGAGTTTCTTCATCCACCTGATTTGGGATGTCTAGTCTTGTCAGTCAGCAGGGAGCAGCTAGCACAGTCTGGTCTGTCCCCTGGAGAGGTCACATTTAGAAACAGGCTCTCCACACCTTTCCCATGGCTGAATGCTCTGCCTGCCCAGTTTCCTCCTTCAGTAAACAACACCAGCTCGGAGATAAGCCAAGAGCCACATTTGCTACCTCAAATCATCAGCCACTCTACCCCAACCTCATTCCCCTGTGTTCACAGAGCCAGACAGAGAGCCAGGTTCAGGAGGAGGCAGACAGACGCCAACTCCTTAGCACATTGCCGTACTAGGAGAGCCAGGGAACCAAGATTTGGCTGCCTCATTTTGGCGACCCATCCCCCTACAGCTCAGAAACAATTCTTGTCACCCAAGAGGGAAGAACCAGGGTACAGTCACAACCAGACTACAGTGAAACTAGATTCCGACAGTATAAACAGCCCCTTACACGACATCTGGGACTTACAACCGACTCTGCGTAGCCTCCACAGCACACATGGTTCATCTCATTGACTCAGGCCAGCTTTGCTATGCAGCTGCTGCTGTCCCTGGTGGTCATCCACAGTCCTGATTGCTTCCTGCAGCTTTATGTCACCAACAGTAGTACCGTGTGGGAGACCTACACATTACCTATGTCGGCTGCCAGCATGGCTTTCAGTTTGACCTCCTCAGGCCCATAGCCTCTGTGTACTGACACGCTCACAGAAGTCTTGCCTCAATGACACTGGTCTATTATTAATCATTGATCACTTGGATTCCATGCCATTGGAGTCTAAACACCTACTGTCCTTTCTCCCAGTGGGGGTGACGGCTCACCTGGGTTTCTACCACAGTAGGCATGGTTGGGGTATCCCCTAGCTTGGGGAGTCCTTGGAATACCAAGTGGGTCACGGGTACTTCTGATGCTTGTCAGTTTTCAGTCAGGCATACAGCTGTCTTCTGAAATCCCAGACGAGACCACAGGGAATGTGGGTGACAGGTGTTGTCTAGGGAATTGCCATGTCCATCTCCTGCCACAAGCAGTGAGTTGAATGACTGGGAAAGACAGGATGGGAAAAGTCTAAGGCTGGACATCTATTAAATGGACACTGCGTTGGGTGTTTGGGCATTTCTTGGGGTCCTGGGTCTCCCCCTTCCTTCTATTGGTCCTTTCTAGATACCCACCCCCTCTTCATGAAGCTTACTTTCACCTACCTGGCCTGCTCATATCCCACTAACTCTCCTTTAGTCAGAAATGGGGTTACTGTGGTGACTGAATTCTACCAGAAGGCAGAAAGTTCTGACCCCAGTCCCTGTGGACTCATGTGACTGCACAAGACGAGGTTATACTGGAACTAAGCCACCATAGTGAGGGTGCTTATTAAATGTGGAAAGCTGCAGAGTTGCATGCCCAGAAGAGAACAGCACGTGGAGAGACACGGATGGAGAGGCCAGACAGGTTGGGCCACCAGGAGCTGGTGGGCGAAGACCTTCAAAGGGAACGTTACGGTCACAACTATGGTTCAGGCTTGTGGGGGAGGATCTCATGCTGTTGGGTTCTGGCACTTTGTCAACATCTACAAAAAACCCAGACAGACTTCAGCCATTTTAAATGGACTGAGCCTTCAGGAAGTAAAGGCAGTGAGTTTGACCTGTGAAGGCCCCAGATTTCTCTGCTAGGTGGCCTGGAAGAAGAGTGGATGGAAACAGTGTCCTCTGTAACTTAAGAACACATAACCAGGCGCTGAACTGGGCCTCATGGAGTCCTATTGCTCAGCCCCAGGCAGAGAAAATGCACAGGGACCATGGCCTCTTATGCTGTCGACTCCTGGAGGCATGTTGCTATTCTATACACCTGCCGCATTTGATGGGATAAATGAGCAAGCATACTTTTGAAAACTGGATAGGGGGAAGACTGAACAAGAGGTGTTTGACTCCATCATGGATCACTTTCCTCTGACAAAACAGAGACAGAGAGAGAGTCCCTCTCAACATTCAAATGTGAAGTGTCCAGAAACGGGAAATAAATAATCCCTGAGTTTTCCAAATGAGAGCCTTTCTAATGAAAATCCCAAGACATTCTCTGTGTTGCCAGGGAAACCAGGGCCCCTCCACTGGATTCTCAATCTCATCGATAAACCAATTGAAAGGTGGCATCAGGAGGAGGCTGGAACACAGTCTTATTTGGGTTTGAGAGAAAACCATAGGGCAGACGAGGTGTGCATCATGGCAGCTGCTTGGGGGGGGAGGGGTGAGGAGGACATGAAGGACATGAAAAGAGACCAGCATGCAGAGGCAGTGGGAGCCAGTGAACAGCTTACATGGCCACAGACAGCTGCACAATGAAAGGAAGGAGAAAGTGCAAGGTGCCCGAGAAAACAGGCTCAGGCTTTGACCAGTATCTAAAAGAAAGAGAAGAAGAAAAAGGAAGTCACACTTTTAAACTCTGAAAAGCAGGACATAGAGCAGAGCTACGTGATGGTGTGACATCAGCAACTGCACCGAGGGCTGGATTTCTCAGAGGGGAAAGTATATTGTCTCATTAAGGGTTAATTATTGTTCCTGTCTCTTTTTTAATATGGCTTAGCTTTTCGTGAATGTGACTTCCTGAGGGTCCCTGGGCCCCATGACTAACAGGCCCGTTGGATGAACGTTTAACAAAGGAGTCAATAGTATGAATGTTCTATTCATTGGAGTAGATCAGAAAAGGTCCCACCCAAGGCCAGCCGTGGATTCCGTTCCTTTGACTAGGGGCAGATCACTTTCTTAATGGGCCTCAACAGATAACCTCAGTGGCCTCTACAGTAACATTTCGTCCCTTAAGAATAAGTACCTTTAAATTGCTTAGAAAGTCGGCCAGAGTTTGGGAGCAGTACATCCATCCACCATGAAGGAATTAGCATCTGAACTGGAGTTTCCATCAAACCTCACTGAGACACCCTAGGAGAGGCAAAAATACCTGAGCGTCCCCTTCTGGTCAGAGAACTGAAGACATGTCTTGCTTCCAACCAAGAAAGATGGCGGTTGGAGTCCCCGCCCTTAAACTGCCTAGCCAGTTTCTATCTCAGGTCTGCATTGACTGCAGAGGGCCTTCAGAGTTGGAAATGCTTTTGTCCTCAGTTCTTTAAGTCGATATTGGTGTGGGATGATTTTAAATCCCAAAGAGTAATTCAGTTCTGTGGAGGTATATTCAAAAACTATTGGCCTTACAAGCCAAGGACGAAAATAAATGTCCCTTTGCACACGGTCCTGTTATGTTACCTTGGCTGGTCTGGATTTGAAAATCCCATTGCCTCAGCCTCTCGAGTAGCAAAGAATACAGGCACATAATAATAGAGAATTAAAAAAAAAATAACCCAGTGGATCCAGCAACTAAACCATCAGATAAATTACTCAGAAGAAGACACTTCAAGGTGCAATTCCTAGCCTTGTGTTCACTGCAGTGTAGCAAAATAGCATTGACTTGTAACCGCTCTGTAATAGAGTAACTGCTCTGGAACTTCAGTTTATAAATGTCCCTATTGGTGGCTGTTGTAGTTTGCTAACAAGTGTACTCTTTTGAGAGTAAAACTTAAAGAGACTTAAGGGGAGACTGCCTACTCGGGGAGAATGAGCAGCCATACTTACTTAGCAAAGCACTGAATGTTTGACAGATCACAACTCTTCCTGAAGTGGCAGACTAGATTATAGACCTGTGCTTGTTCACACCAAACACCTGAGCCTGAAGATCAGCCATAGAGGAAACTGCCTGAAATAGTGTAATGTTTAACCTACTTATTAAGTTCCATGTCCCTTTTAAAACCTCCTAAGCGTGTCCTCGGGACATAATGATGGGATTTTTGCAGTAGTGACTCAGAAAAAGGAAGACAAGAAAGAATGTGTTTGTGGATTGCTGGCCATCCCCACTGTAGGCATAACTAACCTTAGTTTGCATTCTTAATCTGCCTCCCCCACTGACCTGCCTGTGTTGATGCATTGAAGATAAGTGTTTAGAGGGAAAGGCTGAATTGTGGACTTTACCCAATTGTATTTTTTGGTACATGTCAGTATCCCATCTAAAAGGAAAAGTGAATTATCCAGGCCACTTCTGAGATACACCTCAGACACTTAGAAGTATTTATAATGTGGATTTACTGCAGGGGGGGGGGGAAGGGAAGGGAAGAGATGAAAAGAAAAGAAGAGAAGAGAAAAGGAAAGAAAAGAAAAGAAAAGAAAAGAAAAGAGAGATCTTACAGCTGACAAGATGGCTTAGTAGGCTAAGGCGATTGCCACCAAGCCTGAGGATCTCTGAGTTCAATTCCAAGTACCCACATGGTAGAAAGAAAAAAGCCAATTCCCAGAAAGTTGTCTTCTGACCTCCACACATTTACTACAGTGTATGTGTGTATGTACACACACGCATACATGCACTCATGTGCATGCACACACACACACATACACACACACACACATTTTTTAAATACATTTTTTAAAAAGGCTAGGCATTTCTTGCATAATCATTGTCATTGCCATCTTCTAAGATGCTTAAATAGCAGAATGAATTGGTTTTTTAAGCCTTTTTTTTTTTTTTTTTTCTCATTTTAGGTGGTACCATGAGAAGTTTGAAGATTACCCCAAATCAAGAAAAATGCTAATTCCATTTGTGCTTTAACTGCTGTCAGTGGCATTGTCTTGGAAAATTTCCTTCCTTATGAGGCTCTCTAGGCACTTATAAATGATATGTTTCCCTTAATTCTCTAGTAGCACCATTGTTTCAGGAAGGCTGGTGGGGGGTTTAATCCCCCGGTAAAGGAGTAAATCAATCATAAACTAAGCCCACTGGGATCGGTTGCCAGGTCAGGAGTGAAGAACACTGGGTCATTGCAGCCAAAGTGTTTCTGGCTTTAAATGTGCCTCTTTAGGGTTTGGCTTTGTTTGTGTGTTTGTTTTTAAATTTTTTATTTCATTTTCAGTTTTTGCTTTTTTTTTCAAGGTAGAGTTTCAGTGTACAGCCCTGGCTGTCCTGGAACTAGCTCTGTAGACAAGGCTGGCCTTCAACTCACAGAGATCCACCTGCCTCTGGTTCCTGATTGCTGAGACCAAAGGTGTACACCACCACCCACTGTTTGTAAATTTTGAGACAAGGTCTCAGTGTAGACCAGGCTGGCCCTGAACTCACGGGGTTATATGAGGCCTCCTCAAGTAAAGGTGTGTTGGCCTCCCACCTCTCCAATGCTACCAAACCAGGCAGTGTCTCTGGGTTCTGTGTCACAAAAGTGTAAGAAACAACCAACCCTCCAAGGAATGCAGGCAGGCCAGCATCCTGCCTCCTCCGCAGATGGGTGTTTTGCCTGCTCAGCCCTGGCCACAGAAGCCTGGTGGTGTGGGGGTGGTCACAGCCCAGGAGAGATCACAGTCTGCTGTCCTTTGCTGCAGCTGCTGAACAGTGAACCCTTTGATCCCAGAGGCTGGGAAAAGGCCTGCACACTGAGCTCTCCAGGTAAAGTGCTCCTGTCAACACGCTGTGTCCCAAAGAGAGTGGAAGTATAGAGTGTATTCACTCACTCACTGGCCCTACTTTTGCCTTTTGTTCCTCCTTTGGGCTAGTCAGAACTAGAATTTTTTGTGTTTTTGTTTGTTTGTTTTTGTTTTGTTTTGTCTTGTTTTTCGAGACAGGGTTTCTCTGTGGCTTCGGAGCCTGTCCTGTCCTGGAACTTGCTCTTATAGACCTAGCCTCCTGGTCTACTCCCAGAGACCACCTTCCCCTGCTTTAATCCCTAATGGGAGTAAAGGCATGTGCCACCAGAACTAGAATTCTTTAAGGCATTTAAAAACACATATTGTTTTTTATCATTATAAAACAAAAATCTCAGAACAGAATCTCTTATTTTGAATGCACCCAAAGACCAATCATTGCACATCCCTGAAATCCAAGCACTAGGAGGGCTGAAGTGAAAGGACAGAAAATTCAGGGCTAGCCTGGGCTGTGTAGGAAGACCCTGTTTGGAAACAAACAAACAAAAAACCCAGTACCAATTGGTAATACTCCAAGGAGGCAGCTGCAGTGATAAAAGACCCCCTCCCCAGGCCTCTAGCCAGGACACTGGCTCCTCTATAGCTCTTTGTAGTCTGGGGACCAGTGGTGAAAAGCCGTCCCTACCAGACTGACCAGCACTGCCCCAAGGCAATGTTCTCTCTACTGCCCATTGTCCTCAGGGGAAGTGATGGGACAGTGTGCTCTCTGACCCCACTAAAGATGCTGCAGTGGACCTCCTGGTACACCTGACAGTGTGCATAGTGCCCACCCCCACACCTTTCCTACACGTACCACCTATTTTCCCTGTGTTCTTCCCAGCAGGGCTTCCTCAGCCCCTTGGCTCTCATAGACAAGCTACTCTCTGTGCCTCTGGTTTGCAGAATGACACAGAAAACTTCGTGGTGTGGCTGTTCCATTTTAATAATAAAAAGCAAAACAAACAAACAAAAGCAATGTTTAAAGGGGGAACCTTACCGTAAATCTGCCACCTTTCCCTTTATCTTCAAAACCCAAAGCACTAAACACTGTAGCTTTCCTCTCCATACTTCAGAAGCGGGCCTGCCTGGTGTGTCCTGGAAGGTTTACATGGAAGGAGGTACTTAGCGGAGATCCTGGGAATGTTTGCTGTGAACTTCAACCTCCGTTGAAGAAGGGCATGATGCCAGAATGGAATACAGGACTCTGGGTTGCCAGACAGATGCCCTGTCACTGAGCCACACGTTAGCCCTGTGGTGCATCTTTGTTCATGAAGGGCCAGGTTGCCCATGGGCTTGGTGCTTGTTTCCCCCACCCGCCAAGTGCGAGATCAATTTAGACGGAATCCTGTCCTAACATCACACTCTCCTTCATTACTTAAAACTCTTATGTAAACGGTGATTCTGTGATTATTAAGGAAGTTAATAAAACTACAGTTCTAAGTCCAGTTGTATTGTTTGTCTTGGTGGTTGGTTGGGACTATCATTACCAATTCAGCGTTCAGCCCCGAAAGCTGACCGATTTCCCAGTGTTGGGTGCATAAGTCATGGGAGCTTTTATGGTCTTAATTGAGGTCAATTGGTTTGTAACTGGGATAAAACGAAGCTACGGATGTTTGTGGCTTCACCATGTCGAGCTATGCTGCTAAATTACTTCAGGAAGTCCAGCTTTTCCCGTTGCCACCCTCATGGTTTCCAGTTTGGCAGCACTGGACGCCCCTTTTTTTTTTTTTTTTTTTTTTTTTTTTTGTTGTTGTTGTTGTTGTTGTCGTTTGCTGTGTATGTCAGCAAGAAGCTGGAGGAAAACATGGAAGATTCTCTGGATTCCTGTGTGATTTGGGCACAAATGGCTTTTGAGTATTTTATGTCCTGCAGTGATTATTGATGTTTTCTGCCTTAGCCCATGGGATATTTTCCCCGTGTTAAAGACCATTTACTTCTTGGGCCAGCAAGATGGCTCAAATAGCAAAGTCATTTGCTGCGCAGACCTGGCCACCTGAGTTCAATACCATGTAGAGATGAAAGAAGAATCTACTCCACCATTGTCCTCTAGCATACCTGGTCTCACACACACCGTGGCCTGTGCATGCCACCCCCCACAGTAGTAAAACAAAAACAGGTTGCTTATTTTGAGATTTTTCAGAGGTACTTTATGCAGGAAAGAAATGAGAAAGATATTTTACAGCAAGTGTGGAGAATTAGGGTGGTTACAACACACTGCATTGACACTCTAAATTACCTTGTTTTTTAAAAAGTGTGTATATGCCTGCATCTATGTCTATATACCACGTACATGCAGTACCCATAGAAGATAAAGGGCATCAGATCACCTGGAACTGGAAATAGAGGTGTGAGCCACCTTGTGGGCTGGGAGTCTATGCTGGTGCTTTGGAGGAGCAGCCAGTTCTCTCTCTTCTTAGCTAGCTTGTTTCAAGGGTTTGCAGCTGTGTGTTTCCTATAACCAAGACCCTCTTTCCTTCATCGCCACAATGTTCCTATGGGGGCAGGAAAGATGCCTCACCAGAGGGCCCCAGTTCAGTCCCCAGCACCCATGTCAGGAAGCTCATGACCACCTGCAATTCTTCCAGCCTCCACAGACACCCGGGCATGTGTGCACACACTTAACAAAAAAAAAAAAAAAATTTACAAACATGTTTACATAATTATGCTAAATAATCTCTAATTTTACTTTTAAGATTACTTTTGATCCAGAGATTTTTTTTTTTTAAAAGGTAATATATTTGGAAGGATACTTTTTTGGAGTGTGTCGCTTTATTTTGTTTTGAGACAAAATTGTACTATGTGTCCCAAGCTGCCCTGAAAGTCCATCCTCCTGCCTCAGCCTTCTAGCTGTTGAACTTATAGGCACATGCCACTGTGCCCAGCTCACTTAGTTTTCTATACAAAAGAATTTTTCCTTATCCTTTACTGCATGTGTGGATATAGATTATTTTCTGTAAATTTTCTTTGTGGCTTTTGGGCTTTCTTGCTAACCTGAAGGGAGATCACACTTTACAGCAATAACAGGACCATGTGTTAAGTCTATCCTATTTGGTTCTGTTATCGTTAGTTCAAACATTAATTTTTCTTTATAACTGATTGATCTCCCATATTTAGTTCTCCTTGTATTTCTGATGATGGTCTTGCCTCATGTGAATCTGTGCCTCTTACCAGCTTAAACATCGTCCTCCAGCTGACTGCTTCATGACTTAAAGTCTGCTTAGGTAAGAACATGACCACACTGTCTTTTTAGTAGATGTACACATCTTGTATCCATCAGCTGTTTTTTTAACTTGCTATTGCGTTTTTAGATGGCACTCACTTTAGTTCTCTTTAACAAGTGGGTTTTACAAATAATAAATTAGTTCACCTTGTCTTACTAACCACCACACCAGAATCATTTTCTCTTATTGTTTCTGAAGGTTTATTACTATTTTATTGTGTATGAGTGTTCTGTCCAAATATATGTCTGTATACTGTGTGTGAGCAGAGCCCAAGGACAGAAAGTGGGGTCAGTCCCTGGAACTGAAGTTACACACAGTTGCTGGCTGATGTACAGATGCTGGGAATCAAACCCAGGTGGTCTAGAAGAGCAGTCTGTTTTTAATCGCTGAGCCATCTCTCCAGCCCTCTTTTTAAAACTTTCTCTTGCTGTCTAAAATGATTTGGAAGAGACTTCCTTAAAAAAAAAAAGAAGACTGAAACTGGCCTTTTGATTTTAGCAGTGCCTTCCACAGTGTCCAAGCGTGGAGGTCAGTTCAACATGAGCTCTTACACATTTCCTGGTGTCGTAAAAATCCTGTACCAAGGTTTGGAGTGAGTCACTCTTCAGCACCTGTAGGAGAAGGTAGTGGGTGAAGAAGCACCCAGATGTGTGCTTGTTCTGTGGCATGGCAGGTCCTGGCCCCTAGAGCACAGCCCAGTGAAGTCCTCCTAGACGGTGACGACAGTACATGATCCTGTCGCCTGCATACCTGCCTCTGACAAAAATGTAAAGCCTGGAAATCAGCTGTATACTAGTTCTCAAACATCCTTGAAGCAAAACCCCTCAGGCAGGCATGCTGGCAGGCTGAGGGCAATCTCTTTGAGTTTGAGGCCAGCCTAAGCTACATGGTGCCCTACCAGCCTAGGCGACAGCATGGAGAGAAAAGTTGACATGTTGGTTTTGGGGGAGTCATGGTCTGTAATGGCTAGTACCTCTTGCCTCACACTGCAGGACAGCCTGGGTGAGGGTTGATGGTGCCCCAAAATCACTTCTACTCTGCTTTGGTTTTTTTTTTTTTAAATGAGCTGTGACATAAAGTCACCATGTGCTTTAGAAAAAGGATGATTCTGGAGAATAAGTGACTCAAGAGCAAGAGGAAATACCACTTTGAAGACATCGGGAGGTGGAGCATCAGCAATGGGTCACTTGTGGGACACTTGTCACTGTAGCAGAATGGACAGTGGACTTCATTTCAGGTCAGCTGTGTGATAAAGATCTGTGCAGAAATCCCGAATCTCAATAATAATTTAAACGTGTATTTTCTTTGTGTTTCTGGGTGTTGTGAGCATTGCTGCATATGGGAATGCAGGTAACCACATGCCGCAGCACATGTATAGAAGTCAGGACAGCCTCAGCACATGCCACAGCACAGGTATGGAAGTCAGGACAGCCTCAACACATGCCACAGCACATATATAGAAGTCAGGACAGCCTCAACACATGCCACACTGCATGCATGAAAATCAGGACAACCTCAGCACATGCCACAGCACACGTATGGAAGTCAGGACAGCTTCAGCACATGCCACAGCACACGTATGGAAGTCAGGGCAGCCTCAGCACATGATACATTGCATGTGTGGAAGTCACGACAGCCTCGGAATTAGTCTTCACCTCCCACCTTGGTTGAGACTGGGCCTCTCTGTTGGTTTATTCCATTTTGTACAGAGCTTTTAAATTTGGCCTTCAATTGTCTTATGAAGAATGGGTGGGTGGACCCAACTGGGACACTGGGCAGTATCCTGAGCAGAGGAAACCTCAAAGCCCACCCCCACAATGGACACACTTCCTCTAATAACACAATACCCACTCCATCAATGCCTCACCTCCTAATAGTCCTACTCCCTATGAGCTTAAGAGGGCAAATACATTCAAACTAAGCCCCCATAAGCTTATAACAGTATCCATGCAAATGCATTTAGTTCAACTTCAAAAATCCTCATAGTCTGTCACAATCTCAGCAAAGTTTAAAAGTCCAAAGTCTCTTTGAGATTCATGCAATCACTCAATTGTAATGCCTTATAAAATCAAAATCAAAAAGCAGATCACATACTGTTGTAATTTTAAAAAAACAGCAGCATGAGGGAAAGACGCCGGGCAACAGAGCTCACATGGTGGGGTTTTTATTAGGGGAAAGGGAATGAGAAAGGGGGAGAGGACAGGGGAGACCAGTCTCTGGGGACAGTAGCAGCAGAAGAGTAAAAAGAGGCAGAGAGAGAGGAAGAGAGAGAGAGAGGGAGGGAGGGAGGAAGGAAGGGAGAGAGAACAGAGAGGAGGGAAGAGGAGAAGAGAGGGGTGGGACCCTTTTAAAAGGGAACATAGTGAATGTGCACAGGTGGTGCTCTTAGTGGCTGCAGCTGATGGCGTATCCTGTCAGAACCCCAAGCGCAGGCCAGTACAGATACCTGAATACTAACACATATTTTGCACATAAATGTCACAGGATGTACATCACCATTCCAAAATATAGGGAAGGAAACATAGTGAGGAAAGATTGGACCAAGGCAAGGCCGAAACCAGCTGGGTAAACTCCAAACCCTGCATCTCCATGTCTGATGTCAAAAACACTCTTCAGATCTCCAGCTTCATTCAGCTCTGTTGACTGTAACAAGTTTCTTTCTCCTGGGCCGGTGCAACCCCGTGTTAGCAGCTCTCCTCCACAGGTATCCCACAAGGCTGGCATCTCTAACATCTTGGCAATCCAGGCTTCAGCTTCACAGCTTCACTTAATGGCCTTTTTAGGCCTCCATTCGGGGACACACATGACGAATGCCTGGCCTTAGAGGCTTTCCTTAGGCACAGAGACAAATTGTGTGTCCCTTTCTTGTATCCTTAGCTCTAAAGCCAGAACCACATGGCAGAAGCTGCCAAATTCTTCTGCTTGCTGGGGCTGGGATCATGGTCCCACCTTCAGTAACATCCTCACCTGCTTTCTGCTTTCTTGGACTTGCTCTGTAGACCAGGCTGGCCTCGAACTCACAAAGATCTGCCTGCCTCTGCCTCCCGAGTGCTGGGATTAAAGGCATGTGCCACCACCACCCCACTAAATTCCCCTTGATGTAGGGCCTCCTAAGTCCTTTTCAGTACATGAAGTTGGCTGGTGCACCAGATGACTGTTTATCTCCAAACACTTTCTCCTTTTTGAAAACCTTGTTGCCCACACCTACTCTGCTTTCCCTTTCT